GACAGCACGTTTGGGGAAGAAACATGCCTTCAAAAGAAAAGCGAAATAGCTACGGCTGTATGAAAAAAGGGAATTGCAGGGTTTCACATGGATCTCCCAAGCTGACAGCCTGCGGGCAGCAGCTGTTTCCAGGCAGCCAGCTCAGCACTCCTCCGCTGCCCGTCAGTGAAACTGCCAGCAGAGCTGTGGGAGGAGGAATTTTCCCAGGTGTTGGCCTCAGTCCACCCTGGAGGTAGGGCTGACACCCCTGGGCAGGCGCTACTTCGGAAAACTCCCATCAGTCACTCAGGGAGTTTTGCCGGACTAACCAGTGCCCACAGCTGCAGGGGACCAACCCCCCAAAGCAAGAATAAGAGCTGGCAAGGGGCTCTGCAGAGCTCTGCGGCTCCAAAACCACCCAGAGATCTATTTTTGGGAGTGGGGAAGGGATCCACATCACTGTCAGACCATTCGTCCTGCACCTTCCCGCTGCCTTTGAACATGAGGTCTGGGGAGAAAAGGGACACCAGCCTCCACATCCGTGCACAGGTCAAGAGCCTGCAGCAGATGTTTTGGATTAGAAGATGTGACTAGAGGTTGTGCAATCATATTTGGGGTACCTTTGAGTTCAACATCACGCCAGCAGCCTGCAGCTTAGCACAGCCCACTTGGAAATGGTTTAGGTCTCCTGCAAAGCCCTTGCAGGGCCAGCAGCTGGATGTAACCATAAGCAAAACAAACCTCCTGGGGCAGCAGCTCTCCCTTGACTTGCGGTGAAGCAGTAGATCCTCACAAAGGATTTTCGGTGACATGTATCAAGGTGCCAAGCGTCCCCTCCCCATCCCCACCACCACCCACAGCTGGTTCCTGCACCCCCCGTGACAACAGGCACCAAGCACAGCACAACCACCGCAGCGCCCGGTGTCCCCATTTCACACCCAGATGCTCATCCTGGGCTCTGTGGTGGAGCTGGTGCAGCAACGGTCACCCTAGCCCATGGAAATGAGGGCTTATTCTGCTTAACAGAACAGCACAGCTCAACCTGTCCCATGGCTGTCACTGGGGCTTTTTTTGCTTTTGCTGCACATGGGCAGAATGCAGCTCTCCACGCTTGCTGGCAGGAGTGGGCCAACATGCGCAGGTTCCCAAGACCTGACAGGGAGTCTGCTCCTATGAGCAATCACACAGTCTTCAAGAAAAGAACTGGAAATAGCTTACATATAATTAGAATCATAGAATCATAGAATCATTGAGGTTGGAAAAGACCTCTAAGATCATCGAGTCCAACCGTCAACCCAACACCACCATGCCCACTAAACCATGTCCCTAAGCGCCTCATCTACACGTCCTTTAAACACCTCCAGGGATGGGGACTCAACCACTTCCCTGGGCAGCCTGGTCCAATGTTT